CACCCATTGGTTGCAATCACTGGGAAAGTTGTGGTTCTGTCTTTGCGCATGCGCGCCTAGACTGCTTTGCAGGAACAGGAAGACCAGAGATTTACGTCGAAGTTCTGGCCTAAAGCTGATTGGTCAGCGCCCTGCTTTCTCAGCTGTGGGCGGAACAGGTAGCTATATGAAAGTGATATGTGATGCTCCTCCCGGCCAGTAAGCGGCGATCTATTCGCCCTTTGCTCGACTTGTCTGCTCTGGGAGGGTGACATTGGGATGTTCAGTCTTCTTCCTGCGTTCTGACGGGAGGTCACTCTTCGCTTGTGGGAAGCTAGGCCTTACCTCCGCTTCAGCATGGCTCAGGCGGCTCAAAAAACTCGTCAAGGTTGTGACTACTAAAACCCCCCAACTTGTGAGCGGTAAGACGGAGACATCTATGGAGCTGTGTGTTCATATGATAATCAGTGCGTGCCTGTGTTGTGCACCTCTCCTCCCTTCCCTCAATGGAATTGTAACATGGTATTGGCATTGTCAGCCTTTGGGGAGCGCTTTACTGAAGCTCCTCTATAAGTGCTGATTTACACTAGATGCAGTTCAGTGCGTTTTTTTTTTTTTTCTGCATCAAAAATGCATGCAGTTTTTTCCATGTATTTCAGTGGCCCTAGTTCACACCAGTGCAGTCAGATCCGGTTGGTTTCCGGTGCAGAAAAAAAAGTAGAACATGCTGCATTTGTTTCTGCACAGAACCATACTGGAACATAGCAAACTGCACCGGAAACTGCGTGTGGTGTGAGCTATAAGCAAAAAATATATCTGGAATGTATCCAGAGTGTGTTTTGTAGTGTGAACTGGTGCTAAGGCTAGCTTCACACCTATTCAGGTTGCGTTTGAGCCGTTTCTGCATTGCATTTTGCTTTTTGGGTTTTTTTTTTGGTTTTTTTTTTGTGATCTGTGGGCAGGGCATTCACACCGCAGCAATTTGAAGTAGCTCATGATTGGGCAGTTAGTCCTAGTGCACATTTCAACATGGCAGAAACGTGGAATACATGCTACAGCCTTGTGGTGCCATTACTTCTTAAGGGACCCCCAAATGCAGGTAACAGCCATGCAGCAAAATGTGCAACACAAAACCCACTCTGCTCATGTCCAAAATTTGCTGCCTGAGCTTCTTCTTGTGCATTTTTGGATAAGGGGGAGGCCCATTTAAATGGTGCTGCTCCAAAATGTACATAAAAACACAACACAGTAGCATCACTCACGTGTAAATGGGGCCTTAGGAATTCTGGGCAAAAGTGACCTTTACAATTTTTTATTTTTTTTTATAGCTACCATGTTGCCATCAATGTGAATAGGTAACCCTCCTGCCATAGAAGCGCTCAAGTGAGTGGGAAGGAGATAGGAAAATATTTTCTACAACATACATAATTTTAAAGTGGAATATTCGTCAGAAAAATGAAGCCCTGCTAGATCACTTCAGGCTGGTCCCTTTTGCAGCTATACATATGTAAACCATTAAAAATAAGTGCCTATGCTTTTTAAAATCCAGTAATACACTGTCTCACCCTGCTCGGCACATTCTCAGTTCTCCATTTTTAGGCACTGTTGAATCTGTAGATGCCGATCTGCTGACAGCCTTATAGCAGAATAAAGCCAGCCATACATGGGTCGAATTCCGCAAGAATTTTCTTTCAAAACTTTTTTCTAAGAATATTCATTCAAATTTTGCACCATTAGTGGGCCATAGCAATGGCTGATTTTCGAGCTACCAACAAATTTAAGAGATCGGGCATATTGGAAATTCTTTGAAAAACTAACAAATTTCTAATAAATGATTGGAGAATTGTGCGAGAAATGTAATTGAAAAATAAATAAGCATGAGCTGTGACCTGGAAAGAAAAGAAAATTCTTGGCAACAAAAATTCTTTTCTGTAGTAACATGAGGTGAAATTAATGGCTTGGATGGTCGAATTTTGAAATCTATGTTGGCACCATTGGATTAGAAAATACACAATTTCCCATTTTCTAAAGAAAATTGGTTTGGAATTTGACCCATGTATGGCCTGCATTAAACTCTCTTATCCTTTACAGTCCAGGAAGCTACTTATGTTTGATCTTCAACTGCCAGACCAGCCATTTGATGGTTTGACAGTTTGGTTAAGAAATTATTGCAGCTCAATGGACTTTGTAGGCTCTTAGACATCAAAAAGAAATCTTAGTTCTCTTTATTTTACAAATCACACGTTACACAGAAACAATTATACCTAAAAGTGATACCAACATATGTACCACAAATTGAAGATGGAAAAATTGCACCTCAATGCATAAATCAATTGAAATCCTACCGTTCCTAGATAACTATATAGACTATAGCAGGGGTCCTCAAACCTTTTAAACAGGGGGCCAGTTCACTTGTCCCTCAGACCGTTGGAGGGCCAGACTATAGTTTAAAAAAAAAAAAAAAAAAAAAAAAAACTATGGTCATCTCCTGTACTGTGTCCGCATTTGTTCAGAGACTGCGGACATACAACGGCGGTGGGAGTACTGGGCCGGCCGCCGCTCTATAAGACGCACAGACATTTCCCCCAAGTGTGTCTTATGGAGCGAAATGGTGTCCCATCATTGGTGTCAGTGGGAAGAATAGTGCCCCATCATTGGTGTCAGTGGGAGGAATAGTGCCCCATCATTGGTGTCAGTGGGAGGAATAGTGCCCCATCATTGGTGTCAGTGGGAGGAATAGTGCCCCATCATTGGTGTCAGTGGGAGGAATAGTGCCCCATCATTGGTGTCAGTGGGAGGAATAGTGCCCCATCATTGGTGTCAGTGGGAGGAATAGTGCCCCACCTTTGGTGTCAGTGGAAAGAATCGTGCCCCGTCATTGGTGTCAGTGGGAGGAATGGTGCCCCGTCATTGGTGTCAGTGGGAGGAATGGTGCCCGTCATTGGTGTCAGTGGGAGGAATAGGTGCCCCATCATTGGTGTCAGTGGGAGGAATGGTGCCCCATCATTGGTGTCAGTGGGAGGAATAGTGCCCCACCTTTTGGTGTCAGTGGAAAGAATGGTGCCCCGTCATTGGTGTCAGTGGGAGGAATGGTGCCCCGTCATTGGTGTCAGTGGGAGGAATGGTGCCCCGTCATTGGTGTCAGTGGGAGGAATGGTGCCCCCGTCATTGGTGTCAGTGGGAGGAATGGTGCCCCGTCATTGGTGTCAGTGGGAGGAATGGTGCCCCGTCATTGGTGTCAGTGGGAGGAATGGTGCCCCGTCATTGGTGTCAGTGGGAGGAATGGTGCCAGTCATTGGTGTCAGTGGGAGGAATGGTGCCCCGGAACGGTGTCCAGTCATTGGTGTCAGTGGGAGGAACGGTGTCCAGTCATTGGTGTCAGTGGGAGGAACGGTGTCCAGTCATTGGTGTCAGTGGGAGGAACGGTGTCCAGTCATTGGTGTCAGTGGGAGGAACGGTGTCCAGTCATTGGTGTCAGTGGGAGGAACGGTGTCCAGTCATTGGTGTCAGTGGGAGGAACGGTTGTCCAGTCATTGGTGTCAGTGGGAGGAACGGTGTCCAGTCATTGGTGTCAGTGGGAGGATACGGTACCCGTCATTGGTGTCAGTGGGGGGGTTGGAATAGTGCCCAGTCGTTGGTGTCAGTGAGGGGGAGGAATAGTGCCCCATCGTTGGTGTCAGTGGGGGGAGGAATAGTGCCCATTGGGTGTCAGTGGGGGGGTGGGTAGGGAATAGTGCCCCATCGTTGGTGTCAGTGGGGGGGGGGAGGAATAGTGCCCCATCGTTGGTGTCAGTGGGGGGGGGGGAGGAATAGTGCCCCATCGTTGGTGTCAGTGAGAGGAATAGTGCCCCATCGTTGGTGTCAGTGAGAGGAATAGTGCCCCATCGTTGGTGTCAGTGAGAGGAATAGTGCCCATCGTTGGTGTCAGTGAGAGGAATAGTGCCCCATCGTTGGTGTCAGTGAGAGGAATAGTGCCCCCTCGTTGGTGTCAGTGGGAGGAATAGCGCTCCCTCGTTGGTGTCAGTGGGGGGGGGGGGAATAGTGCCCCATCGTTGGTGTCAGTGGGGGGGGGGAGAATAGTGCCCCATCGTTGGTGTCAGTGGGAGGAATAGTGCCCCATCGATGGTGTCAGTGGGAGGAATAGTGCTCCATCGTTGGTGTCAGTGGGAGGAATAGTACGTCATTGGTGCCAGTGGGGGGGGGGGAGGAATAGTGCCCCATCATTGGTATCAGCGAGAGGAATAGTGTCCAGTCATTGGTATCAGCGAGAGGAATAGTGTCCAGTCATTGGTATCAGCGAGAGGAATAGTGTCCAGTCATTGGTATCAGCGAGAGGAATAGTGTCCAGTCATTGGTATCAGCGAGAGGAATAGTGTCCAGTCATTGGTATCAGCGAGAGGAATAGTGTCCAGTCATTGGTATCAGCGGGAGGAATAGTGCCCCATCATTGGTGTCATTGGGAGGAATAGTGCCCATCATTGGTGTCATTGGGAGGAATAGTGCCCCATCATTGGTGTCATTGGGAGGAATAGAATGTCATTGGTGCCAGTGGGGGGGTTGGAATAGTACCCCAACGTTGGTGCCAGTGGGGGGGGTTGGAATAGTACCCCAACGTTGGTGCCAGTGGGGGGGTTGGAATAGTACCCCATCGTTGGTGTCAGTGGGGGGGAGGAATAGTGCCCCATCGTTGGTGTCAGTGGGGGGGGGGAATAGTGCCCCATCGTTGGTGTCAGTGGGGGGGAGGAATAGTGCCCCATCATTATTATCAGTGACACCAATGATGGGGCACTATTCCTCCCACAGACAGCAATGACACTTAACTAGCTGACCCCTGTTCCAGCATGGTGCTGCTGCAGCCAGCATACCTGGTTGCAGCAGTACCATCTGCACGGCACACTTACCGGGCTGTCAGCTGTCGTCCTTCCTTCACTTCGGCCTCTCCCTTCCTTGATTTTCGTGGGGGCCGCTCGGCTACGCCTCCTCGCCGGTGATTTTCTGCCTGTGTGCCTTTCCTGAGCTACAGTACTGGCGCCCAATCACCAGGTGAGGAGGCGGAGCCGAGCGGCGGCGGCGGGACATAGAGTGAGGAAGCGGCCGGAGTGAAGGAGCTGCGCATCCTGGACTGGATCGTCGTGGGACTGGAGCCAGGTAAGAGACAGCAGTCTTCTGCCAGCGGGCCGGATGAAGGTGCTCGGCGGGCCGCAGTTTGAGGACCCCTGGACTATAGGGTATCAAAATAGATCACCGATGATTGAGATGACCTTATTTAGTTGATTGAAAACGGATGTGATGTCACAATTGAGAGCTAGTACAACTTCAACTGAAAAGTGGTTCTACGTGTTTCACGACTATATGTCGCTTCCTCAGGAGCTAGCAAAGGTGCATCTATAATAAAACTAAGTTTTTGTTGTTTGTTTATATA